GCGAGCCGTAGTTTGGTTACCCTTGGATTAGAGGGAAGGCAGCTAATCGACAGCACCAATCGCCACTCTTGGGCTAATTGTATAGTGGGATTTGTCCGTCACTCTTATAATGCAAACCACGGCTCTTAAATGTGGAGTGCGATTTTCATTTGTGGCAAAAACAAAAACGCGAACCATGGAGCTGAGGATAATCTGACGCTAATTTCTAGGCTATGTACGGCGTTTAGAAATAATATAAAAGGATTGGTTTGTTTCGAATATTGTACAAAGCTACACTTGGGTTATTTGCGCTAGCCGTCCTTTATTTAGCAGTGAGATATTACATGGAAAGCAGCTAATCAACACCACTTACCACCAACTCTTTTAACAAGGAATGGTGAGATTGACTGTTACATTATAACACCCCACGGTTGAAAGGACGAGCGTGTTCGGTGACGGGAATCCGACCCGCGACCTGCAGAAGGCCGTAAGTAATATAATAAAACCCAGTTAGATATAAGTTTTAAACATTTTCCAACAGATGGCAGTACAAAGGATCAAGAACAAAAAATATATTTTACATCTACACAATGGGCTGTCTTTTCTGTACCCACCCGAGAGTATCTTAACCAGAATTTTAGCGTTATAAGTCCTCAGAGTTATTGTTGAGTTATTAAGGGCATTTTTCATCGATTAAGGATAATAGGAAATATTAAAGTATTTTAAGTAAATACATTCTCCAGAAAATGGTTGTAAAAATATTACATGAAACATAAGCTCTTTACTACTTATAGTTTGTGTAAATTAGTAGACATTTTTCGTAGAAATATATTTCATATTTCAAAGACTGTGGTTCTAAAAGTTTTACGAGAGTATTTTCACGACAGAGTAAATGTAATGATTTTATTCTAACTGTTCTACTACCTCAGCAAGCAGAATAGTTTATTTCTCAGGCAAATATAACTTAATAACGAAAAGGTTTATTTTGTTACTTGTAGTTTCAGTTTATCTTATTTATTGGGTTCCCTATGACCCACTCTTTATTTAATTTATTTTCAACTTGTGTGTGTGTGTTCATGCGAGTGGAAAAAATACGTAAGTAACTTGACAAATTGTTACCAACATTCCAATGTTTGATATTGAACACTTAGATAAGCATACATTGAATTACGATATATACAATGGATCAGTGAAGGCATACAGAAAACAAAGTACTCTTTTACGAGTGGCGGATTAATAATAACTTATAATAATAATAGCTTATTGGTTTCCAATATAGACAGATATTTTGATCATATCTAATCAAGTGTTTATGCATGAGTTTGGGATTTGGAAAACAGTGTATGGAAAGCATTGGGGGTTACACCAGTGGCGTATGGGCACGACCCCACTTTAATACATTTGTTTGAATATTAAATAATTAATTATTATTATTTACTTTGTATTGTTCATATTTTGAACTCTGGTTTACCCTCGAGCTGAACTTTTCACGTTCCTTATTTCCAAATAGAGCTACACTATAGTCTACATTTAGTTACGCTTAAAAAATATTTTGAGGATTTGAGGTCAACAGGATAAAAAAAAACTCAATCATACATAGACATTTGTTTTGAAAAGGTTAAGTTAATAATGTTAACTTCTGAAAGTTTTTAAATTATCACATTACAAGTATAGCTATGCATTAAAATTACACGTATCAAGTTAACATTATTTGTCGGTGTTTGTAGAAAAACTTAGTTATTCCCACATTTAGTAAACCTTGACATTCTCCAGTGTTGTTGTTTTATATATATATAATTATTAAAACATCAATATGGTGATAGTTCTTGCTGTTTTTGATATTAATAAAAAATGTAGTGGCTTCATAAAAGCTCAGTACGAAATACACTCATAGATAGATTATCCTTCTAAGGGGAAACGGTGGATTAAATGGAGATTTCTCGAAAAATAACATGTATTACAATAAGGTATCCCTGTACTCATATTACATTCAACAGTTTTCAAGGGACAAGTGTAGGTGTAGCTGTTCTGTCGGCTTTGTGCCTTTTAATTGATGTGTGGATTCTCCGTTCTCGCGTGGGAGCTCTTGAGATCAACTAGCTTTTTTCCAGGCTCGCGCAAGGAACTGTAGAAGAGGACAACGGATAGGGTCAAAACGTAGCAGTTTCCTTAACAGGCTACCGTAAAGCTATATTACAAACGTACAGCGCTTCACGTCTCTAGCCATCAGAAGGCTTCATACGCTCTATGAGATAGGACGCCACGTTGCATCGCCTGTACCGAGCCCTCGTGGTCCCTACCAGAACTGTTGGTTCGTAATCCACCACATGAGGAAAGAAGATTTGTCCTGAACACAATGTGTGGCTTAACTAACATTTAATTTTCGTGCTGAATTTTTTTTTAGTATGAATGGATTATTGAAGTAATTATTGTTGGTGTTTAGTTTGTTCTTGGAATTCAGAGTTTCCATTTGCGTTATTTTATACAAGATACGAAACTTTCCGCAAAGTAGGAACTGCTTTAAAACTGAACCATCTTTGTGAGTAACGAAGGATAAATCGTAAAGTGTGTAAAGATTTACTTTAACGAGCTTTACAACACAACAACACAAGATCTCCTTCACAATGCCTGTACTTGCCAGTAGTATGACAGCAACTGGTGTTTTCTGGGCATGTCTCTCTCTAGCCTCTGCCATTCTGAACTGTGCTGGGTTCTATCTCCCTTTTTGGCTCCAGGGTGTGTTGTTCAACTCCACCGAAGTATCTTTCGGTTCCTTCCGCCGATGCAGTTATCCACAAATGAAAGAGGACGGTGAAGTCCAAATAGTTCGAGAGTGTGGCCGCTACACAACTTTCCAGGATATTCCCAGCATCTCGTGGCAGATCACCACGATTACTGTGGGAGTGGGGGCGGCCACCTCTCTCTTGGTAGCCTTTACGGCACTAGCTGCGTGCTGCGTGACGGACGTAGTGACCAAGCGGACAGCACGTGCCTTGGGCCTGGTTCAGGTTTTAACGGGTGAGTACATTACATGTCTTGATTATACATCAATTGACAGAAATTTAAAACAAAATGGGGTTTTCTGTATCAGAACTAATACTTGATACTTATACTGTTAATGCTTTATGCAAATACAACATTACTAAATTGCATGGTGTGATACGATGTGTTTTAAAAATGCAAACAAGACTAAAAAAGGTAAGTTTTCCAATACAAGAAAAACAAAAAAATCCACACAGCATTTTGAAGGATGGAGACACATTCTCTCAACCTGCAGAAATAAAATTAAACAACAAATCGAATACTATTTGTTTGTTTGTTATTAAGCACAAAGCTACACAATAGATTATCTGTACTGTATCAAATCTCGATTATTAGCATTATAAGTTTTCAGACTTGTCGCTGAGCCAATGCAGGGCAAATGAGGACTAATGCCACCAAAAGTATGACATTATTTGCTTTATGTATTTAAAAGGTTGAATAACGAAATCTAGAATTTGGCGGGTAATCCAAGTTAGATATTTTCTTTCTCTAATACTCTGTTGTACAGTGTAACATGCCCCATGATAAACCTTATAACTATAGAGAACCTCATAGGCGAATCAGATAGAATAAAACTCCTATCCAGATTTCAAACGAAAATCGAAATCCCATTAGACAAATTGTAATAAAACATAACCCTTGAAAGGTATTTCTGAACAAAATATCAACCAATAAGTTTGTTTGTTTTGGAATTTCGCGCAAAGCTACACGAGGGCTATCTGCGCTAGCCGTCCCTAATTTAGCA